TGTTGCTTCTGATAAAAACTCACAACACACTCAACTCATTTATTATAACACCAATACAAAACACTGGCTGTTAAATGTATAATGCTTGTCAAAGCTTCAGGTTGAGTTTTACTTTTCAGGTGACATTTGACTTTAATTAGTCATGACTGTCATAATAATAATACAATTTATGTTGCAAATATTTACAGTCAAAATACAGAGTAGGAAAAGGTTAGCAGAAACAACATGATGGAAATGAACGCAAAATAATTAAATACATGAAAACTATAAACAGCCAAACAATGTAATATAAGAAAATCTCTTTAAATAAACTAAAAGAATCAATAATGCTCGTGATTACTTTAAATTAGTTTGTGTCTGTGTATTTGCAGAATCTACCCAGTGTAGGCAGATCAGCAGACATATAGCTCAGAGAGTAATCAAGAGGAACAGGATGTTGTCCGTCTATACACTCAATCTGTACTGTTAGACAAATAACAGGCTGTCATATAAAGATGTCAAACCTCTGTGGGTTTTTTTTTTTTGTTGTTGAATAAACACGACTTACAGCAAATCAATAGCACCGAAAAACACTGTGTACTTCAGATCTCCTCTCTACACTGTTATCTTTGGTCTTGAATGGGCAAACTGGAAGAAAATGCAATATTAATGCCACAGACATCAGCAGCAATATTACAGTGTCAGGCTTTGTTTGTCAAATCCACTGCTTAGCAACCTGATCATACTCATTATTTTATTATTCATGTATCTATGGCCCTGGACGGTTCAGTCTAAATTTGGGAATAGGATCTCTCTGGAATGGAGAACAGAGAGCATTAGGAGCATTACATTAGAGGATCGGCTTGCTTGAGCTCTCACATCAAAATTACCCATCGAACCTTATCCCTCGTAAATTGTCTCCTGACCGGAAAAAAAGACTTTGAATGAAGTGCAAAATCCCAGGTGTTGTAAACTCTGATGGAGATAACAGAGGTGGAAAAACTAATTTATTTGGGAACTAATAATGATACATGGAGATGATATTATATTGGTGAATTGGGGTACGGCTTAATAATGTGAAACTTAGTTGCTTTGTCCTTTAAAAAAACGGTGTAATAGGTGATGTTGTAGTTGAAGTAGTCAGAGAAAGAAACTCTGTTGTGTTTCTTGAGCAAGGTACTCCCCCACCAAACTGAATGAAACTGTGTAATTTGGCTGCTGTGAATATGACACAGAAAAATAAAAGAGTTTAAAAAAGCACTCCAGGTATTCGTGGTTATTACAGCTCTACCTTTAATTCCTTTGTGATACATAGTTCGGTGCCTCCCATCATCCTTCATTTGGAATAGTAGTTGGCATAAAAAACAAGCAACACCGATTCATTAAAGCGATTTTGTAGCGGGGACATCTAGTATTCCTCTCTCCTGTCTAAAGGTTGTACACTGAAAGCCTCAATGCAATAAGTATTAAAGCCAAAATAAGACTTTTCTACTGAGATGGACAGCTCTTTCTCCTGCTATAGACACAACTTCTCCAGTGCAACACATTTTATTCAATCACCAGGAAAGGTCATCTTATTGGAAATATTTAAGTGATATATAAGCAACAATCAATCATCATCAGCTGTCATAACTGAAGGTCAGAAAATGCCTATGCTCTGTCATACAGATACAGCAGCTCTTTATTTCTTTTTATTATTATTTTAGCCATGCTAGTAAGGCTACAACCAAGAACTATTTTCATTATTGAATAATCTGTTAATCATTTGCTTCATTGATTAGTTGTTTGGTCCAAAAAATTATGAAAAATGTTGATCACTGTTTCCCGAATTTGACGTCCTCAAATGTCTTGTTTTGTCCACAAGCCGAAGATATAAAATATTCACATTTGAGAAGCTAAAATCTGAAGAAAATTACAGTACTTTGACAATTAGTCTAATCTTTGACAACTAATCGAGTAATTAACTAATCGTTGCTCTGCAGACTAGCAGCCTGGCTCTAGGTTGGTTTACCACTTTGGTCGACCCTAAAAGACCCCAGCAACTACTTGATGGAGGGCTATAAAATGTTGTATTTGGACATTCATGGTGCCCAGAGGATGAATCCTACTGAATTTGGTAATCCCCTGGCTTTTCCTCTAGCGCCACCATGAGGCTCACATTTGTTGACACATTTGGTAAACGTGTCGATGTCCCCCTAAGTACAGCCTCACAGAACATGGCCGTTGACTGTTAATCTCGTTTTAAAATAATGAAAACAGGGAAAAAGTACATTAATCATTATTTGTTGTCAGTGGTCATAAAGAGACAACTGAGGTTCATGACTCATAACAAATAGTTCCAAGGAACTGCCCGGCAGTGACATAAAGGAAAGACAAGTGGGTTGTTTCCTGTTCGAGTATGTGTGAGATTTTACATTTTCACATGCCCTGATATACAATTTTACTTTAATAAGTTCAATGTGTTGTTAGCATCAATTAATAAGTTAAACAGAAACATACAATGCTGAAATGACTGAGGAAAAAGTCATGTTTGATTGAGTAGTTCTCTTTTTTTCTCGCAATTAGCATGTTCAGGGCAAGGGTGGTCATTAAGAAGTCTGGCAAAGCAATCTTGATGTTTTTTTACATTGACCTCAGTGAGCGTGAGCTACAGGATGCTGTTTCCTACAGTCAGTTCTCCTTTTAATGAAGTTTCTCAGGATGTAGAAACTACACCTACATAAAAAACATTTTTCCACGCTGTGTGAATCCTGCTAAAGGGTTGATAACAGCATCAGCGGTTGCCAGGAAGTGTCTTTTTTCATAACCCCCGCAGGCTCTGGTGTGGTAGTGTGTACAGTAGGAAATAAGTGTTAAATCAACTCTGCATCCTGACTGGAATGATTATTTGAAAAAACCTTTCATATTTCCTTAGTAATACACTTTCCAAAGCAGCTCGTTATTTTTTTACTGTGAATATTGTACCTGTGAAGTTTAGCCCCGAAATGAAGAAAGCAAGCAGTGGGACACGCTGCTTTCAAAAGCTTCCCTATTGAATTATTCTCAGGGACTGCATTTCTTTTGTTTTCTCCAGATGACTTGTGTCTGCACGTAGCTTATCATCTTCCAAACACATGCTGTCTTTTGCGGTGAGCAGCAGCTACATTTTGTGCTCCCTGTATGTGAATCTCTGTCAAACAATCATCTGCTCAAGAAAAAGCCAGAGGTCTATGTGTTCACTCTCCAGTCCTCAAGGATTTCATTTGGTTTTGTGTCCACCAGATATCTGGTTCAATAACAATTATATTACTGTCACCATATTTGTGTCCCAGAGCAATCCAAACCTGAACCAGAAGGATGTGAACCGCTTCCAATTTTCTTTTTGAAAGGCTGTGAATGCTGGTTCTTAGGTCTCCCACAGCGCTTGGAAACAATGCCAATACTCGCGCTGAGCAATTTGTTTTCTATTTGCAAGTCCACCTGCGTCTCTGCAGAGGTCACCTAAACCACAGTCTATTCATCTCATCCTCGGCTGACATTTTAAGAAATGCCTCCAAATTGACTTTGTCACCCGTTTTGGGAGGGAGAAAGGGGACAGCCACTTGTACTCCTCCACTCAGATGTCTATTTCCATTCTAACAGATGGATTTTGAGGAGCAAGTATGACAGTCGTGTCTCGCGTTTTTTGGATCTGTTTAGGGAAAGCACTTTCACTTTTCAGCTGCTTTTACGGGCACAAACTGTGTATCCTCACCTACAGCAACCGTTTAAACCACTATGATTAAATGGGGTCAGTGGGAGAATAACGCTACCGCATAGACTGAAACGCCTATTTATCCTCAAGAGATCTCGCCACCGCAGACAACAAAAACTATTTTTTTGGATGGTGTTTTAAGAGTAAAAACTTTCTTAAAACAAAAGCCACTTAATGTGGTGTGTTGTATTCACAGTCTGAAGTGGAGATGGAAAATGTGATGATGGGAGCTGCTCGAGTGTTTAACTGCTTCAAAAGATACTGACCTTCTGCATCTGTTTCTGTTAAAAATGGCACACTCCTGAACCTATGAACTTGCCATCTAAACAATTTACACACACTGCATGCTTTTTATTGCTGTTACTGTATGCAGATATATTATTGTACTCAACTTTCAAGACATAATGTTGAAGTATGTTGACGGGAAGAAGGCAAAATAACAGCTATTATCATCTAGTTGGTATGACTTTTCTCTAAACACCATGGGTTGGCTGCTACAGTGTGTCTCCCATAGTTCAACAGTCTCTTCAACGAGAGTCTGTTTTTTCTCTCAAGTACAACGTCCCACATAATTCCCACAGGGCAGAGCGATACTGTTGTTTCTTGGCGGTCTTAAATCCCTAAGGATGCTTTTCCGGACATATTTTGTTTCTGTTCATCTATGCAGGAAATATGTAGCAAAGGTCAATGCCCTGTAGTTCTGTCACGCCTTACACTTATCTTGTACTTGTTATCAGACAATAAAAGCTTGACAGCATTCTTCAAAATAACTCCTTATTTTCCTGCAGTGTAAAGTCTTTCGTAAACACCCCAGCCTTCTAGGAACTTTCTTTTAAAGCAGCATTTATATTCCTTTATATTTGATGTGATTTTAACAATAATTTGCCATCTGTGTATCATAAACATCCATTTACAACCATTCAAGCACAGCACGACAAGATTCCTATCCACCCACTCATGCCGGAACCAGCTCATCTCCGTCTTACTGTATCTTATCACAGGTACTAGAAAAAATGTCAAACAGTCGTTCAACATTTCAGGACTTGACCTCTGGAGTGGACAAACAGCCAGTGCAGACGTTAGCTTACAAAATAGCTGTGTGTGTGGGAATGTGCCTGTGTGTGGGAATGTGCCTGTGTGTTTATGTGCCTGACTGAACTCATCAGAAACATTCTGTTATTTCCCTCCAGTCTCTCTCCTTTTTCCTATGTTTATGGAATAGTTTTAAGTTTAAACATTTTCAACTCGTGCATTGCGTCTTTGCCTGTGTATTCTCCATTTAGACCACAACTTTAGATTGTGTTACCTTCAGACAAAATCAAGCTAGCCGTTGTCCCGTTCCCAGCCTTTATGCTAAGCTAAGCTAACCAGTTGCTGGCTGCAGTGTGTGGTATCAATCTCCTCATCTAACTCTCGGCAAGAAAGTGAATAGGTGGTACTTCCCAAAATGTCCTATACTATTCCTTCTACAACATGTACACTTACAAAGCCTGTAGGCAGTTTTCCTTTTATTCTTTCTTTGGCTACTGACACTGACACACACTCATAGCCAACATACAAAGTAGTCAAGTAGTTTGGGTCAAGTCAAGTCTTTAAATAAATACTGCACTTAAAGAACACAACCATCTAGCTTGGCATAGGTATTATTGTACAAAAGTTTTAATGCTGCTCTCATTTTATAGTGCTGTACATTTGTAACATCAACAAGAACACCTTTTTCAACTGAAGCGCAGATTCGGTGCTGATTCCCCCTGCCCATAGCCCACTTTTCAGATAAAATTAAATAAAAAATCACTGGGATAAAGGTTCACTCAGTAGTCCGTAAACAAATACAGGTCATTCTTCTTTGTTTTTCAGTTGATTTGAACTTTGAGGACTCCACATTTATCATCCTTTTACTGCACGATGAAAAGATTTGTAAAGTATCTTTCTGAAAAAAAATGGCCTTCTGTTTCAAATTAACAGCAGTGTGTTGAGAAAAGGTTTTGTGTGCAGAGAGATTATCAAACTTTATGAAACCATAAAAGACCATAAAATCTTTCCCTCACGTCAATTTGATCTAAATAGGAGTTGAAAGGTTTTCTTGTCACAGCAGCCCTGTGACAAAACTGTATGTTCGCTGAAGCTGTTTCCTCCATCCTCCGCACTTTCATCCAGACAGACCATAATTTAACAACGTGGAGTGCTGTAGTTCTCATATAATATCTTAGACTAAATTATGGTCATCAAATTCTATCTGGATGCATAAGTAATCATTTCACAGCCTTCAGCACATAAAGAACTGAGTAGCGAGAAAGCCTCAACCACGTCACTCCTTCCTGTCCTACTTACCGAGATTGTCTATGAAGGTTAGCATACATTCTGAAATGAAGACGTACACCATTTGAAAAATCTGACATCGGCTCTTTGGAGCGCTTTAATCAAAGGCAATTATGTCTTTCAAAGGTGCCATACAAGTCCCCATGCTTCACCCTGTCATTAAAGATATTATAACTGCAAGTTTTCACAATCACTGTATGGTGAATTGTTGTATTGCTGTCAGATATGCTGTGACAATCCTCGTGCAACTCACTTTACTGCTTATTTTTGAGAACTGAATTTTTGTGATGGAAGAACAATATATGGATTTTAGTTTTTTACAGTGTTTGACCAACAATAGTTACTGCATTCATAAAGCATGAAAGTGCAATTGAGTTCATCTAACAAGACTGAGCCTCAATCTGAGGCTGGACTGAATGTCTTTTGGGACACAGTATCTTTGAGAAAGCCCTTCGAAAGCTGCTGTGGCACAGAGGGTACAAGAACGGGTTGATGGCAGAGTTCAGCCACAGAAGCCAGAATGTAATCTCGTACCAGTAGTCCGCCACACATGCACCACTACAGGCGGCACGAATAATCATAAGTAGAGTGTAAGGAGCCCAGCAAATCCCAAAAATGCACACAATAATGGCCAAAGATTTTGCTATCTTTTTGTCTCGTGAAAGACGCGATCCCTGTGTTCTGCGGCCAGGCGCCATGCAGGAGGCTGTATGCTGAAACAGCCTGGAGTTTTTTCTATTAGGAGAGAACTTCTCCCTCTGCATGAATATCTGACTGGTATTAGGTTCCCCGCTGGAGGAAGGGGACAGGACATCGTCGTCCTCGATAACTGCAGAGATAGCGGTAGGCTCACTGGACGACACCTTCCGAGTCTTCACAAAAAACACAGACCAGCCTCCTCCGTCTCTGTGCTTCTTACTGATCCTCTGCGTCTTGGCGTCATCCTCGGCACAGGCGCCTCCGCTCTTGTTCCTGCGATGGATGTTCAGGTAAATGCTGAGGTTGAAGAAAGCCACAGACACAAACGGGGTGAAGAACTCAAAGGTAGAAGCGCTGAGCAGGAAGTACCAGGTGAAATAAAACTCGGCATAGCACTCATGAGCCGGGACGACACTCTGGCCGACGACTGTCTCCCAGAAGATAATAGCGGGGCCGTAGAGGAGGAAGGCCAGCACCCACACCGCCACCATCTTGAACACAGCCTGGCGGGTCATGTTTCTCTGTGCTCTGTATTTAACCTGCGTCAAAAGAGAGGCACAAGTGTGACTGACAGTGACGAACAAAAACACTTTGTTGGTTACATTTCAAACTTCCACAGCTGCTCACATACAAACAGGCAGACAAACGCTCTTGCTTCTGCTCTCAGTGTCTTGTTCAAATGAAGCCCTGTTTGTATTGTGCTGCCTCAGAGCAGCAGAGAGATGCTGTAAATAAAACCTAGTCATGAGGCCCTTATTCCTCGGTGTGTCACTGAAGCCAAAGAGAGAAGGGGAATGTCGAGCTGAGAGCCACATTCAGTGATGCAACATAAGAGCGTGAAAGAGACATCTGGTTTCTCCCGATCCACTCTTTCCCTCGTCGTCGCCCATTCTCTTCGCACTCGCTCCATTTTCACTTCACCTCCTCCTCGCTAAACGTCTGAACTCTATAACTGAGCAAGGCTCCACTATGTAACGTTCTCTCTTTTATTATTGGTGTTGTTTTTTATCTTTTCTTTGCCTTAAACCGTCAAATGTCTCTCTGCGGCTGCAACAGCTGGGTATGTCACTGTGACACAATGATGTTGCTAATGTGACCTTGGTTAAATAGCAACTTAAATAAATCCACTTCTCTGAGTCGATAAATAATGAAATAGAGCCACTTCATGATGCTAATAAGTGGCTCTGGCCCCAGTCTTGAGTGGTCATTACAAAAGCAAAATACTCCCCATTTCCATTGTAAATGAGAGAAATCCTCCTCTCTACGGATTGAAAATGAATGAATAAATAAATAAGACTTCATACTAGGCTACTGATATGAAAACAATAAACCACAAGCAAAGAGATTTTTCTTAAAATATGGCATCAAACACATTTAATTATCAACTAATTATATCAGCGTCCTTTAAAAGGCACACTCCACCTACTCACTATATCACCTCTGTGTATTTGGGGGACTCTCAAGAGACAGATCAAATAGGGTTAGGGTTCACAAAAGTGAATTAGCATTGAGTGAGATATGATAAATTTTAGTTGAGTCAAGCTCCAAAAATCCTGGATCCTACATTTTCTATAATGCAACTCTAAGGCATGTTTCATTAGACCTGCTACTTCCTGCCTCCTACATAGGGCTGCATGATATGGTAAAAAAAAATCATATTGCTGCATATTGATTAGTGGGATTAATCATTTTTGCATCACACTTCATATTTTCATTGAAAAAACGATTACAATCTAATCTAAATCAACTAAAATCATGATGATGTGACATTTGTTGGGGTCTGGAGGTGGAGAACATTTTACCTTTATCAAAAAAGTGCAGCTTCTGCAATTTATATGTTGCACTAATTGGCCATATTGTGTTTTGGATGATAGTTCGATGAATTGTGCAGCCTTACTCCTAAATTCCCATTCTTCCAAACCCCACACCACTTAAAAGTAAGTAAATCCCAAAATGAGATTAGCCTGGTGATATCATTAGGGTTATTTTTCAAACTCAGAAAGCTCCTCCAGAGCAAAAAGATATATACTTTATAGAAGGGGTAGTACTCCTTGTGATGTGTGTAAAGTCGGTGAAGTGCCCCTTCATCTAAATTATACCCATCCCTACAGACTGCTGACTTGACTGCTAATGTTTGCGTTTAAAATATTTACCGATCAAATTAACCAGACAGTCCACGCTCTGTGTTCAGATTGACTAGACAAAATTATAGATTAAAGCCAGACACCCTTTTAAAGGAATAAAGATGTGAATGTCAATGACTTCTCACTGCAGAGCGAACTGCCCCGGAGAGTGACACATTGTAGAATTGCCTGTGGTAGTATGTCAGTTACGTGTGTAGGTGTGTGTGTGTGTGTGTGTGTGTGGTAATGAGCACCTGCGCAGCCTGTACTTACTGCTCTTGTGACTGACAGGAAGCGGTCATAACTAATGAGGACAATGTTGAAGACTGAGGCGGTGCAGAGCAGGTAGTCCATGACCAGCCACACCTTGCAGAGACCCTTACCCAGCATCCACCGGCCTGTCAGGTTGTACGGGATGTACACCGGGATGCAGAAGGCACCTGGAAGAGGAACACACACACACACACACACACACACACACACTGCATGATGATTCAACCAATACTTAACATTCACACCTCTCGAGACCTCCTGACGGTCTGCATGTGAGACCCATTACATTGTGAGAAATAAATGACTGGTTGCTGCTGGTCACAAACACAGACCCCTGCAGAGATTAAGTGATTTTAGGGACAAGAGCAGCCTGCACTGTTGTTCCATTAAAGAGAGGCGTGTAATGTATCTATTGCTGCAGATAAGGTGAGCACAATGAGGTGGGTGTGAATGACTTACACACATAAAATGGAGGGATGCTACAAATATACAAAATCCTCCATGGTAATGTGATGGATGAATGAAGCAGAAAGGACGGTAAGGTCACCATTAACTCGCCAATGAACAGTAGTGACTCGCTGTAATTATATTGTAGGGAAATTACAATGTGTTTGGGGCGTGAGCAGATAGCCTTTTAGTGGGGTTTCATTCATAGGGAGGAACAAAAGACTTGAAAGAGACACATTTGAGCGAACTGAGAGAGGTGATGATGAAGAAGAAGAAGAAGAAGAAGAAGAGGCACCAACTCACCCACAAGAAAATCAGATATAGCAAGGTTCAGGAAGAAGTAGTTGCTTTGATTTCTCAGGGTTTTATCCACAATAAAAGCCATGATGACCAGCGCGTTTCCAGCCACCACAACGACAACCAGAGTCACCATGAGGACCGATAAGATCACCGCCAGGTAGCCGGGGAGGACGGTCCCAGCCTCGGACACCGCGGGAGTCAAGTTGCCGCTGGAGTTGGACTCCAGGATGTGCGCGCCCATAGTTAATTCAAAGCCAAAATCATTGCAGACCTTTTTCATTTCACTCACAGGAACAACGAACAAGTCCAATTACGCGCCCAAACGTTCCGCTCCACTTTACCAAGGAGTCAAACATGAATGAAGACCTGACATTAAATGGAAATACTTTCCCCAAATCTTCCATTTTCCCCAGAGGAGTTCTGTGAGTGGGAGAGACACAAGTTTAAATGAAAGCTTAATTTTTTAATAGCAGAATAACAATAATAATAATAATAATAATAATAATAATAATAATAGTAGGAGTAGTAATACTAATTGTAGATCCTGTGGGTGCTCTCTCCTCTCTCTACTCAGTTGCTTTATTAACAGTGAGGGATCATGTGCCGGAGCCTCGGAGCGCAGTTGCTTTTGTTACCGACGTCAAGACTGCCAGAGTAGAAAATAACTACTATATCCGGTAATATTTTCAAAATAAACGCAGTTCTGCAACGTTTTTTTAGAACAAAGAAGTCTGTCAGCATTTCATAATGTCCATTTTTGAATGTGTTCGATCACACGGACTGTTTTCTCAACATATGCCCTCAGAGAACATGGTATTCAAAGCCAACATGTAGCCTAAAGGGCAGCCAAATTTCACTGACAGTTGAAATGTCTGCAAGCCTGTGTAAATACATCTTAGACTATAACAATATCCCAGTTTTTCACCAGATCAAAACCAATGCAAAATACAGTAAAGATTCCCCGCATGTGAGTGTTGTGTGAGAAACAAAGAGGCGTCAAATGCTTACGCTTTTATTTTGGAGGCAAGACAAATTCCGGTCTAACTCGGGTGATTTCTGTGGACTTGACGTTTTGCTTCTTTGTACGCCCAGCAACTGATCAAAGGCTGAGGTCTGCAATCAAAAGGTGAAGTGGTCCAGACGCATGAAGCAGACCGACATGAAATGATCTGAGCTGCAGCCAGCAGGATGTCTGCAAGCGAGGAGCCAGTCATCATCTGCAGATACATATTTATACCAAGCATCAAGTGATTCAGAGGTCATTGTTCCCAGAAGTTCACTTGACAAAGCTCATAGCTCAACATAAACAATCAACACATACTCGAAATTTCTGGAAATATAAATATTAAATAAATACAATAATAATAATAATAAACAATAAATAAGACATGAAATAAATAGGCAAATGTGAATAATTAAGTTTTAAACAAGTTTCAATTATTTAAGAGATAATTAAAACTAAACTTATAATCATTACATTTTATTTCATCACTTATTTTCTTCTTTTTCTTTTTCTATTTTTCTACAAAACTATGTTTAATTTCATAATTGCCTTTTCCGCAGTAACATGTTTTATTTCATAAACAACAGTGGAGATGTTATAAATCTGTCACATGCTAACTGCTAACGCCGGGGTGGGGGGGCCATGGCACACCCTGACAAAATCACTGGCCCCCCCAGTGCCCCCACCCCCCGGCGAGTGGCAAATAACAAGCGCAGCCAGCCAGCCGCCTTCACTGTCACACGCAGACCCCCTCCGCTGTGTTAACCTTTCCTGTTCTGTTTTGACCAAAGGGGAGACTGAATGTTATATTTCTCCAGGGCTGAAACCGTCTGCAGCTTCGGGGTTAACTCCCTTTCCTTCTGTCTGCAGGTGAATGGCAAATAAACGGGGATTTGACTTTAGTCCGAGGATTTATTTACTGACACAAAGACTGTGCATACGATATAAATCGGTAACTGCTACACGTCTTCTGTCTTCCATACACATCTCAGTTGTAGCACACACAGGCGCCGTCAAGTGGTTTTGGTGTGCCACCCCAGGATTTCCAGAGGCCCCATCTGGCCACCCCTATGAAAATTTCTGGGGCCCCCCTGGAAGTAACTCTGAATTACCCAGTTAGCTGTTGCCGTTAACTTGCGATAGGCAGCATGTGCAGCCCTTTTTAATTCTACACACTAAAGTGCAGCCTTGTTAGGCTAAATAAAAGAGATATTAGAGTACTGAGTTCATTCACAGAAGCAGCTAGTTGGTTGGCCAGAATTACTTCGACATTATTGTTACTTGAGCTAATTGGTGCTAGCTGACTAAATCTGGTAGCCGTTGTTGAGCTTGCTAGCTTTAAAGAGACTGAGGCAACATGATTGGCTGAGAGCTGAGAGAGCGATAACAACACAACTGTCATGAAAAGTGATATTATGAGACATTGTAAAAATTACATTTAAAATAATTTCTGTAATGAATTTACTGTTTTTACCTGAACTTTCCTTTTACATTAGAATGTAAAAATGATGAATAACATTTTATGAATAACAAATAATATTTTATGAGTTGAGTTTTAACAATTCCCAGATTATTTCGCATATATTTTACACTTGATGTGAGTTTTTAACACTTTGGGGATCTGTACTTGCATGCTTTGAAAAAATACAGTATTTACATTGTAGGAATTTGCTGTAACAATGAAAGTCTTAAACCAGCCTCCACCAAAGTTCTTCCAGGGCATGTTGTAACAATCAACAGCAGGAAAAACTGTATATGGATCAAATTTGAAATCTCCTAAGTGGGATCATTACTATCTTGAACATCGAGTATGAAATTAGCTCCATGAGTTCTTTGCAAGCCTCTAAAAAAAAACATGATTAAGGGCTGAGATGATGAGTTCAGTGTTATGATAGCTTGTCCGGGAGAAACAACTCTCTAAGTGAATTAGCTGTAATTATTCTCAATGGATGAAATTAACAGACAGCTTTGTACACAGACATGGAACACATCTCAGCCTATTGTGTGTCATTTGTGTTCACATTTAAAAGAAATGCCCTAATTGGATCAAACGATCAGTTTTATTCCCTAACGATACTGAACACAGATAAAAGTCAACTTTCTTACATCGCATAGTCGGGTTGTGGCAGTGAAAACGAAACTGCACTGTGCACAGATGAGCCCCAGGTATTTTTAGAAAGCCGTCCTCTGCTGCCTCAAGCCACTCTGGAGTGGTTAATATGCAGACCGTGTCTTTCCAGGGATCGAGTGACACTAAAATGGAGAGGTGAGGCAAAATCCCACAGGAGCCGCTGTGAAGTAAATGCTCTGATAGGACACACAACTGTGAAAAGTTGAATATTTAGAAGGCTTCAAGTGGATGTCAAACGCATTGAACAGACATGTGAATTATGTGAGTGAGTGTGAGAGTGTGTTGGTGAACCTCATCTTGGTGAGCAGTGATGTCTGATCATATTTTTTGGAAACGCTGAATGAATTGTGTATGAATTTCATTCACACATAGAATTGGCTGCAAGCTGAATTAACTCTTATGGGGACAAGAATTCGAGCATCAACATCAAGACAGATTTTAAAATGAATGGTGAAAGAAACGCGTAATTTTTCTTCTCCTGAACAAAATCATTGATTCAAGTTGTGTAATGATTATGTTGCTTTCTAATAAAGAGGATCAATAACCCTTGTGTAGGATGGATATAATTATACAAGTACAAAACATCACATTCTGCTGATGATAAAGTCGTATGTTCTGTACAAAGCTTATGGTTTGATTGTTTTAATGAAAACATGTTGTACTGTAAACATTTAATTTCAAGGCTTCTCAGAGTTAAAGCGATCAGCTGAAATAACAATTTCACAGCAAAGACCTTTAAATACTGTAATTATGTTGAATAAATTATTTGTTTATTGCAAGAAATCCCTGTTTGTCTCCATTAAGACACATCTGAATCGGCTAAGAACAACCTTTTCACAATACTGTGAAAATGAGTTTTAATAAAAGTCTTTTTCCCCCCTCTTTTTGAATTTATTTACTCTTCTTGCTTTTTGGCCTTTTGGTCTTCGCTCCTGATTTGGTGGCTTCATCCTGTGAAACAAGAGGAATGGATTAGAAAACGAACACACTAATGATTATCTTACATTAGCACTCCACTTAAACGATGCTAAAGCTTTTTCCACGTTTAATATTTGAGTGCCGTTTTAAAGCACATGACTCAATATTTGACAGACATTTTTGCCTGAACTCCTGCTGCGTTTCCCTGCCTTACTGAAATGTGCAAATTACAATGTACTGATTGGCACGCAGCATACTGTTTTAATGTATTCCAATAATTGCATCAAACTAAACATTGCATTCTTAAGTACTCTTATAAAACATCCTCCACTAATTATTGCTCTGACAATCCAGGCTGCCAACTTGTAGATCCCCCAACACTAACAGCTTGGACAAAAAGCAAGAATAAATTATTCTGAATGTATGATTCTGCTCCATACAGCAGAGCAAAAATGCATGCATATTTCATTTGGTGTTTGCAGTAGGGCTGTAAAACAGTCACTCTCCAACACTGTTTTTGTTTGTACCCCCAATTACCATTAAAAAAAGGTTCTCCCTAAATAAATGTTAAATGTTCCTGCAGTTTTAGCCGACAGGAAGTAGCCTTACCGTTTTTAACCAATACATTTGAGGAACTGACCTGAAATGTTTTGTTTCTTTCTTAGACAATAGTAAGTTCAATTCAATTCAATCTTATTTGTATAGCGCCAATTCATAACAGAAGTTATCTCAGGACACTTGAGTCTCTGGTTTGTGTCTGTTTTATATGTCACTTCCCCTCTCTCTCCTGTTATTGTCTGTCATCTCTCTGCTGTCAGCTGTCCAATTAAAGCATAGAAAATGTCCCTGCCCTAAAAAAAAAATCTTATGTCTAGCATATTAATGGCACAGAAAATATTTCTTGCTTCAAATGGACTAAACAGGCTTTATGGAAAGAAAGAGATACAACTCGTGAGGGTGCATGTTTTCTCTACATCCCAAGCGCATTTGCGAAATTTAATTTACACTGCTTTTTCTCTGCCTTGCAACTTTGATCCTGTAAATCTAGTGTTTTCTCATTTTGTTAAAACAGAATTTCGGTGTCCTTTTGTGTGCACTAACCCACTATGGACTTTTGGAAATAAGGAGATACAAAACAAGCGCTCTGTGCAGACAAAGTATTGATAGCTGTTGATTCTGAGGACAGTTGTGATGGACATCTACACAATCTAATACATAATCCATCATTATTGTTAAATTAAACACCACAAAGTTAGATTCAAACGGCATTATTATTTTTTTTTGCTTTTGTTTTGCAGTTTTGACTGAGAATATCCTTGCTCACATGGCTCATATTGTTTATCCTGCTGTAATATTATTATTATCACACAAGTTTAAGATTTAACTTCCGTAAACCACATGAACTAGAAACAAGCCATTCTACAGTGGTTTTAAATCCTTCCATCAAACTGAGCCTTTGCTGTCAGGATGGGAATGTAATCAAGTACTAATTTGAGCGAGTTGATGGGGTTTTGAAGTAGGCTACTTTTAAGAGTAGGTTTGCTGTACCTTTAATCTATGTGTGGCAGCAGCTCAAAGGTCAATCGTGTTATCAATGGAGTAACTTCGCAGAAGACGAGTTCAAAGCATACTGGACCTAACTTCAGGCTGCTGAAAGCGAGGAGAGAGTGTTTGATCTCCAGAAAACGTGGCAACCAGACTCTTCAAATGTACCAATATCCCTAATGTGACAGCTACTGAAGTGTTACTGTGGAAACACAAAGCAAGCCGAAGAGACATTTATAATGAATCTATGTCTAACTATCACCTGTAACTATACACTGACTGTGTAGTCTGCTCTCCTGACTTTTGGACTCAAAATATCGTTCAAAATATTTAACAGTCAATTAAACTACAAGACATCAGGTGTTTCCCAGCATCAGAAAACTGACAGCAAAGTCAAATTTGACTGATGATGTGTCAGTGGAAGACAACAGAGTGATTTGTAAGAGGCCCAGAGAGTGTCTTACCGTGGAGACAGTGTATCCTTCCTCTACCAGGATGTTTCTAGCACAGTTGTTGATGTGTTTGAAGCGGTCAGGACCCAACAAAATACCTCCATACCATCGGGACACGACCACCATGACATTACGCACATCCAGAATCTGTGGTGAGTGACAAACACATGGTGTGATGTGAAATGAGTGTGAATTTGAGAGGGCTGAGCAAGAGACAAATACAATACTGGTAGCCATTTTCAAGCAGCTAGATATTTCACACCAGATGCCATACGGAGGATGAATCTTCATTAAGTGCATCTGGGCCAGGCCATCAGCTGTCAGTCTACAGCTGATGCCCAGACACTCCAAAATGTGGGGATATTTCCTTATTTTGCTGTCTTCCACAGAGTTAGATGAGAAAATTACTTTCACTTTCATCTTTGTGTCAATATCTAGCTCCAGTACATGTTTAGCTAAGGTAAGCACAAAGACTGGAAGGTACAAGGTTCAATTTATTCATTCATAAAATGAGGGAGATTCCCAACCTTATCAACCAACGCTGTTTACGAAAGATATGCCCAGAAAATAACAAAATAAAACCATAAATATCAACTCAAACAATATTAAAAAAAGACCATAAAAGGGGCCATAAAACGTTATTAAAACAATAGCATAAGAACTACAATTAAAGCCGCTCTAGTCAATATTTTTATATTAAGAATAAATCAAATAACATTATGTATGAGAAAGAGGTCACTCCTAGTGAAATCCCCACTCTGTAGTTTCTCTCAGTTCTACGGAGCGTTTCAGCGTCTTTCAGCTCATTGTTTTTTGTTTTTGTCAACCTGCAATATGACTTTGTTCATTTAGTCTCAAGCGCTGTCATCAGCACGGTTTCCTGATGCAGTAGGCAGTTGTTTCAAGCTCAAACCACTGTACGGAGACCTCCCAGGCACCAAACAGCAGACAAACAAAATTAGCGACAAACTAAGTGAGATTTAAGCTAGGTAGAGATCAAAAACTAGGATTTTTTTTCTGTCTTTTAATGGAGCTAGCTGTTTTCTCTGGCTTGCTTGGGCTAAGCTTACAACATGTCCTCTATCTCTCTACTCAACATGCAGCGATTAAATTGACATTAATCTTCTCATCAAACTCCTAAACAAATTCCCCAAAATGCCAAACTATTCCTTTAACTTAAAGGAAGATTTGGCTTCGAACCAGCAAGAACACACAAAATGTGCAATCTGTCATTTGAAGGGACTCATCCACATCTGGCTGCCGATGCTATTAATCCTTTTTTTTTTTTTTTTTTATTCATCACCTCCACACTTCCACATTCACTGGCAGAAAGCACAAATCTAAATGAGGAAAACGGGAAGAAGGCTTGTGGAGAGGAATGAAATTAGAGAAGAATAGATTAAGGAGAAAGCTCTTCATGTAAATTGCTCATAACGCTGAGTGTGACAAGTAGCAAGATTAATCAGTGTGTTGCCAGAAGGATGAGCAGGAGGACAGTGTACTGATGCTATCACTCCAGTTACAGTAAGTCAGTCAGCTGCAGGAAGTGACCTCACTGTACGTCTTTTAATCTGCTCTTATGTCCACATGGGTTAAGTAAAGCAAATATGAAAGGAACTTTTTTTCTGCTTTAACAAACATATTGAGTGGGTTTACTCGTTATGCCTCAACAAAACTATAGTACATAATGACAAATAGTCAGAAATTGATAGTAATGTGGTAACGTGTAATTATGGATAATGGACCCTGACAAATGTAAGTCCAAATTCATTTCTTATAGCTCTAATTAGGTCTCCCCAAGTCCTGAGGGAAATATCTGACTTTTTAGCTCCTAAATGCTCCACTATGCTCACCAGCTAGTCGCTAACTGGCAGGAAGCTGAAACTGTCGAAAGTGTGAAATGTACCTTTAAAATAAAGATTTAAAATAAATTTAGACACAACTGTAACGTTGTGTCTAAATGTTAACGTTTCCTGTGGCTCTTCATGTAAGATAAAACAGCAGCCGTAAAACCGGGCTTGGAGGGTTGATGTTCAAATCCCAGTACCAGTAAAGTTTTTGACTAACTGACACACTTAAAACAACACTTTATGTAATAACACCACATTATGTAATGGGTCGACAAAATGTAATACATTCTCACTTCATTATTTAATAACACGCACATTTTGTAATACTTTCTGCCGGATTTTGTAATAACCAGCATGAAAGCAATATGTAATACATTATTAAATTTAATTTCATGTTTTGTAATCATTTATCACATATGGTGGTTATTAAACAATGTTACATAATAATATGATTCATTACGTAAAAATAAATAAAAATGTATGACTTTACCTGTACATGTTATATTTTTAACAATTAACCTAAATTAAACTTCCCAAATATTAAAGGAGACTCCTATGACCTGACTGTTGGTTTTATAGTTGACCCTAATCTTAGTCTAAATAGTTACATGAAAGCAGTAAGTATTCACAATGTTTCAGCAAACGTTTGTAGCCTTTTTTTCCCCATTTACTCAAAAGGTAGTTGTTAAAATTAGAGCCAGGACTGTGTGTGCAGAGAGATGAGCTCTGTAAGTGACTGTTTTCAAAGGCAACACTGTATTAGTAAGACAGCTTGATTCATCTGAATTCTGTGCAGCACATCACAGTTTCTGACATACACACCAAGAATCCAATGCACTATTTCACACTGATTTATCTCTCTAACAGGGTCACACTGGCATAGATGACTGCCGTCATCTCATGAATGAGTATGAACTTTGACATGAGTCATGGATCTCATCAGGAAAAGCTCTAACACGACTTGGCACCTGCTGGTAATGAATATGACAGAACTACTACAAGTCACCGCTGAGCTCTGATTACGGCAAACTTTTTCTTTTGTCACAAACCTTTCACTGGCCTTCATTCAATATTACGGGGAAACAAAAAGTGTGTGGACAATTGCACATTTCAGTGTGATGTGGGTGTGTGTGTGTGAATCATAGTGCCATCTGACAGCACAGGCCGGTGACAAGTGCCTCTTTGATATGTGAAATGAAAAGATTTTGTGAAATTACTATCGTGAACTATGAGTGAAAATCTACACATTATGTAAATACTAGTGGTGTGGGTTACACTAGTGAGGTCATTGCCTCATCTAAAACCATCAAGACTCAATCTCAAGGCTCTGTGTAGATATAGATATAGATGTACATTTACCTCAGTTAATGTTTGGCTTTGACTTTGGAATGAGCAATTCCGAGAATAAGCTCCAAACAGGCTGGATCCTATAATTCAACCCTGCTTGGAAAAACGTAAAGCTGCCCTGATGAGTTTCTTGTAAACAAATGAGCTAGAAAATGCAGTATGTGTATCCCTCAGGCCTAACACTGAATGCATTAGCTACCAACTGTGCAAATACCATGAAACTGCAAACAGAAATGTGTAACTCATAAAAACTTTGCTCATCTGCACTCCTAGTGGCCAAAAACTCTGCAGGGTACCTTTAATGGCACTGTTTTGATGCAGGCTTTGTTATAAATCTGTAGGCTCCCACCAGTTTTACTTTAAAGTGGCTATAATTGATAGATTTTTATATAAACAATGTATCAGTGTGACAATGTCAGAGGTGTTGCTTGTACTACAGATAATTATCACCTCAATCTGCAGCTCTCCTAGGCTTTATAGAGCTTTAGCTCATTGTTAAGCTGGTTCACTGTCAGTGCTGTCATAGTGCAATTTTTTGGTCACAGCAGGCAGCTGTTTTCAGTGACAAAGCTTTAAAAACCCACTTAGTGATAATGTATAACCCTTACGTTAGCTGCTGAACATAATGGAGCATTTAGAGAGGGAATATTGGACATTCCTCAGGTGGCAAGGTGTTAATAACCAATCCCAACTGGGAGACAGGGTACACCCAGGAAAGGTCCACCATCAGACACAATTAATACAATTAGTACAATTAAAACTGGACATAGTCTCCATGACGTCACACATAGGTTTCTGGAGCGCTGTTGTGAAGCTTAGTGTGGTTGGCTCCATCAGTCGCCATTTTTGCAGTCCTGACTTTGTCAGCTCTGTCGGCTCCCAGCTAATCCAAAAATGGGCAAAGAGGTGGACCGTGGGTGGAGCTGAGGCGGGATGAATAAAGCCTGTGACAGAACCCACCTGTTACTCAAAGCGGCCATGCCCTTAATTATACATAACTTTAAGCCTTGAAATAATTTAAACAGGTGCATTATATAAAAATTAATATATGAATTTGGGGCCACATAGTGAGATTTACTCACTTCTGTCGCCAGCCTCAAGTGGCCCTTTAAGGAACTGCAGTTTTTGTTTTTTACGTGTTGGCTTTATTTGCCAATGAACTAAAAGGTTAGTTCAGCCCATTATTTATTTATTAGTTTGCTGACATGAGAAAGCGATAGCTGTTTTTACACATACTTTCTGCGTGTGATACAACAAAAAGTAAATCAATAAAATAAAATGAAGTAGCATTATAATACTGGACCAATCAAAAATGTTCAGCCCTGAAAGCCAAAGTTCCTGCACTTTTGGAAAGTGCTATCCCCTGAGCAGGGACTTTTTTGGGGGTAAAATGATTCATTTAGACCCTGGTCCCTGCAGTGGGTTGAGTTAGATAGAAGACTATCCTCTGCAAGTTTCTGCTGTGGAAACACGTCTATAGCGTGCTCACATTCATTCACACCAGTTAAGAGTCTGCTGACAATGACAGGCACAAACGCCACACAGATTCAAACCTACAATCTTCTTGCTGTGAGGTGACAACATTAACCACTGCACTACCATGCCAACACATTTATCATTAAGACTTTATAGGGTTAATATTTCAGTCATAGCTTGTTTTGCTGCCCCCAAGTGGCCAAAAACCTCAGTTATTTTAAAGGTAAAGGCTGTTGTGTGAAGTGTGTATGCACATAATGCCACAAAGCGGCTAATGCTATGAAATACATCAGAATGTAAACAATCATAGTGTTCATTTTCTAAACAAATAGCCCCTGTCCTGCCTGATCACTTCTTCCATGCTTTTACTCAAGTTGGAGTTACATAATTTTGGCTTGTACAAAATCAGCTATTCTGTCATTCTCCTCTACAGTAAGATTGTTGCAGTCCTTACTTTAGCCTTCTGTCAATGCCAAAATGCCAGATGTGCACTCCAGAGGTCAACATACATATTCTGGATCAAAGTTAAATTTAGTAGAACTTTTGCTGCAAAATCAGGCGGAAATATCATTAAAGCGTGTGCTGCTCTGGTTCACTCTCCATTGAAAGTAATGCTCTTGCTCTACGAAATTTCACATTTGTCAAAGCCCTCTCAAGCCCCAATGACATCATCAGGGTTATTT